GGTTTGGAAGTTATTTGCAAAATAGAGTGCAAAGAGTAGTTATCCAAGGTTACAAATCAGAATTAAAACCGATAATAGCCGGAGTGCCCCAAGGATCAGTCCTTGGACCTCTTTTATTCTTAATATACATAAACGACATAGTTGATGGAATCGAAAGTAATATAAGCCTATTCGCAGACGACACATCACTCTATGTAATAATTGACGATCCCCATACGAGTGCATTTATTCTTAACTCAGATTTAGACAGAATATCTAAATGGGCGGAAACCTGGCAAGTAAAATTTAATCCAAACAAAACTGAAACTATCAAGTTTTCACACAAAACGAAACCTTCTACGAAACCTCCCCTCTCGATGACTGGTACACCTATAAATGAAGTGCAGATTCATAAACACCTAGGCATTATTTTTCAGGAAAACCTCCTCTGGCATTCCCACATTAATGAAATGATAAGGAAAATTAGCCCTATGATTAATTGCCTTCGTAGTTTTAAATGTAGACTATCACGCAAAACTCTCGAAACAATGTATAAATCCTTTATCTTACCTCTATTTGACTATTGCTGTCATCTCTGGGACAATTGTACAAACGAACAGTCCTTGTCACTAGAAAACCTTCACTTAGATGCCTTACTCACAATATGCGGTGCAGTTAGAGGTACAAGCCATGCGAAACTATATCATGAGACAAACCTGACTTCCTTATCGAAACGGAGATAAACTTCTAAATTAACATTATTTTACAAAATGGTAAACCATATGGTTCCTGACTATCTTTGTGATTTTGCTCCAGGGAATGTTTCTGATAACAGTAACTACAATCTTAGGAATAATGAAAATTATCAGACTATAAGATGCAAATCTACTAATTATGCCAAATCGTTTTTGCCCGATACAATTAAACTGTGGAATGACCTACCTACAAATGCTACAAACGCTTCCTCTGTTGGACAGTTTAAGAATTCAATCACACCACAAGTTAATACCAACACAATGTTCGATCTAAATTTTGGTAGTCGATTTTGTCAAATAATACACTGTCGCCTTAGATTGGGATGCAGTGACTTAAACAGTGATAAGTATAATCGTTTCATTCCTGATAATGCTTCTTGTTCCTGCTCACAAGATTATGAGGATGTATTCCACTATTTTTTTCATGTGTCCTAAATATAATACCATTCGATACGAATCGTATTTCTATGTGAAAGGTTTCTCCCTGCGGGATGTGCTAAATGGCAATAACTCAGTATCTCATCAGACGAATATGGATATTCTACGGTCAGTCCATCAATTCATTATTACATCAAAACCTTTTGATTCATAAAGTTTTGTAGCTTCTCTTATTTTTTTATTTGTATCAACTGGCCACGAAACAAAACCAAGATAAATTGTTGATATCCATGATTGTTATTATTCAGAGATAACTTGTTATAACCACTATAAATATGTATTATGCACAAATGTGAACCTTCACATGTATGGTTTAAACATATTTTTATTCCGTCAATGCAGAAACATGGATAGACGAACAAGCCTAGTGGCTTATATAAACGCCGCTCCAGTACACGGTTCCAATATAGCTGGATACATATTTGAAATACACGGACAAGAAAAGAATAATATCGAGACAAAAGTACACTCAGAAAAATGATTGAATAATAAATATTTGGTTATGGTGTTGGTTGTGCCTAGTAACGAAAGAGCTGCCGCAGAAAATCAAGTTATATAAATCTTGTCTTGCATTGAATATAGATGTATATGTAGAGATGATAATCACTGGAAGCGCTTACTTTTAGAAATGAACTGGTGTAATGAGTTGAGAATGTCACAATTTGTTGAGTTATCCAATGCGCCGTTACCGTATAAGGTAGTTTTCACATCGTATCCTTGAATATAAAAATACACCGTTGTTCTTAAATTTTGATAGTTCCGACATGTAAAAAGGTAGTGAATGACGTCTTCGTTATAATGACCACATGAACACTTAGCTGTTTCTGATATATGTCGATAATATCTGTCTGCGTTCAGATCACTACAGCCGAGCTTGAGGCGACAATGGATGATTTGACAAAATCTAGTCCCAAAATTTAAATCAAAGTAGTTGTCAGTTTCTGTTGGATTTGGAGCGGCATTAATATAAGCCATTTAGGCGTGTCTGCCAATCCTTTTCTTTCTTCTTGAATAGAATAAAATATGTTTAAACCATATCCTCTCAGACATTTCATATGTGTTAAAACACTCACACTCTAGGCTACCGGATTCCAACACATCGACAGACGCTATGGTATCTTTCCACATGTGTTAAAACACTCACACTCTAGGCTACCGGATTCCAACACATCGACAGACTCTATGGTATCTTTCCACATGTGTTAAAACACTCACACTCTAGGCTACCGGATTCCAACACATCGACAGACTCTATGGTATCTTTCCAGCTAGAACAACAGCAACGAAATAATTTCCTTTGAATTCTTTTATTCACACATCAACGATAACCATCAACAATGTTAACAAATAGCACGTGCCTTGACATAAGGCTTCAATATCATAAGTGTCCATAATGAAAGTCGTCTACACGGCAGTGACAATCACAGACTTCTTCCTGGGAACATGGACGGGGGAGGAAGCGTCAAAGGATGAATCCAATATGGCGGCCATCTTCTCTCTCAGTTCGGCATACCTTTGCACAAACAAACGATCCTTTTCTCTGAGTGTGACAGTCTTTCGTTTCAAGATGGCGCTTGTCTTCTGGGCACTGGTCATCTTGGCTTTCCTCTTGGCGGCCTTGCAGTGGTTGGATATCACCCTCTTCCGGACGATCTCCAGTCTGGGGCTGGAATAAACGGGGATGTCGACGTAGAGTTCTTGTTCCAGCCTCCGCAGCATATCACATCGGCACTTGCTGTTTGGTCGTCTGACAGGAGTAGATCTGATGGTCTTGGCGTTCTTGGTAGGGGCTGCTGTTGAATAGGAATTGAACGCTTGAATCTTGGCACGAACTGGTGTGAACATGTACTCCATTGTCGGTTTTTTTCTTGAAAATTGAATTGAGAACAAATATGTCACTGAGGCTGACTTGGCAACTGTGGAAGACGTCAGAGTGTGAATACAGTTCTGTCATCGTGTGCCGGGTATATATGCCGGTGACGTCACTCAGTGTCACAACTGAGGCCTCTTGATTGATGAACTCGTTTCATCTCTGAGCGCATTCAACACGTGTTTTGAGAGTCCAGTTAATCTTCTTAAAGATGTGATTGCCATGTTTGAGCGAAGCCCATCATATGCTCTACAAACATCACGTGCTGTACAAACATGAAGGACGGATCAATTTCTTGTTTGTACAAAGTGAATGTTTGTTTAATATCCAGACAATATAATTTTGCCCAATGTAAGGCAGTTGATCAAATTGGGCCTATGTTCAAGTATTTTCACATTTGCCATTTGCATATTCAAATTTGTTATAACACGATGTTTCGGAGTGTATGCTTGCTCCTTCATTAGGTCATCATTACTCACAATAAAGAAGTTGACATCCATAAATCTTGCCTTTCTTAAATATACATATTGTCCTTATTGTTTAAATAATAATATCCCTCACACAATATCCTTTTATTCTAAGAAGGAAAAAAGAATTTCATTGCTTAATCTATTCCGATATATTATGGCAGACCCGACTAAAATAAACTACGGACAGATTAAGGAGCAAGAATACACTCCGAAACGTCGTGTTATTCACAATAAACAAGTTGACATCCTTAAATCTTGCCTTTCTTATGCCCTTCAAAGATTTGAAAGTATTTTTGTTAAAATGTTCAGTATACGAAATTCGGATACCATTAATCAGCACTGATTTTGGGTGTTGGTGCATTTTCAGTAGCCTTTCTTCCTAAAAGCAACACACAAAGAGAAATGCGTGTGTACTGCATACTCCTGAAGAAGACGATATGAATCATAATTCTGTGTGAAAATCTTCTCCTGCGGGATGCGCTAAATTTTGTAATAGGCCCGTATCATATCAGGCGAATATGGATATTCTACAGTCAGTCCATCGACAGAAATTCAAAACGATTTGATTAATAAAAGTTTTTGAGTTTATATTTTTTGTATTTGTATCAACTGACCACGAAACAAAACTATGGTAATTTGTTAATGAGTGTGTGAGTTTAGTTTTACGCCGCACCCAGCAATATTCCAGCTATATGACGGCGGTCTGTAAATAATCGAGTCTGGACCAGTCGATCCAGTGATCAACAGCATGAGCATCGATCTGCGCAGTTGGGAACCAATGACATGTCTCAACAAAGTCAGCGAGCGTGACCTCCCGTTCCCGTTAGTGGCCTCTTACGACAAGCATGGGTTACTGAAGGCCAATATTCTAACCCGGATCTTCACGGGTGTAATTTGTTAATAGCCAAGATTGTTATCATGCACAGATAACTTGTTCTTATTTTCACAGCTTGTAATAACTGTAATGTACAAGAGATAAACAAGCCTAAATGGCTTGAACTGAATCAAATATGATAAAACCAAGAAGACATTGCCAAATCACTTTGGGCAGTGTTGTTTAGTTATGATTGCCAAACGCCGATTTTTGTTGAACAAAATACTCAGTAACTGATGTTCCACAACAACCCTTCACATTCTGACACTTGCCTGTCTCAACTTCTTGGATATATGCATTTATTGTTTTATCTTCTGATCAATATGTATTCGCTTTATACCGAAGCACATGTATACTAATTTGTGGATAACAACTTCTTGTTTATTGCATGTAGCGACGTTTCGATGTACTGCAGTAGCGCCTGACACAGTCAACAAGATGTTTATTTACAATAAACAAGAAGTTATTGTCAAATAAAATCGTATGCTTCGTTGTTTACTAACCAATTTCTAGAATGACGATCAATAATTATGTATTCGCTTTGTTTCGTGGTACGTCACTCACAACATTTAAGCTGAGTACTGTCCCTTTGATTCGTAGCAGTTATCTGCTCCTTATTTACGCCACCTGCATGTCAAAATGGTGAAATATAGGTGTTGAACAGTAGTAGTGCGATCAGATGTCTGCCAGTCAAAGTTTCGTTGAAAGGTATCGTGCCACGTGCATGTGAAGCATCAATTCATATTTCCGGGTAAAATTAGAGATGATAAGGATGTTATTATAGTTTCAAATATTTGCCATTATTTCTGAGACATTTCGTCTGGACGCACGGGCGGTGATCAATCTGCCCACACTAACTTTCCATTACAGAATCTGTCTAAGCTGCTGCTAACATCAATTCCACCATCTTACGTTAAACGAACATTCTGTCATCTTTCGTTTCTTCTTTCTATTTCAGTTAGTCTATCAATCCGATATACTTCAGCATTTTTTCACATCTGTCCTTGGACCACTTCTTTTTCTGATATACATCAATGATATTGTATGTGATGTTGACAGTAACATTCGTCTCTTCCGGATGACACCTCATTATATGTTATCATAGACGATCCATCAGTTGCTGCTACCTGTCTTAACAATGATCTAGATAGAATTTCACAATGGGCCCGTAAGTGGCAGGTTACATTTCATCCAAATATAACTGAAACTACTTGTTTTAAAACGCTACTCAGTTCTCATGTAAAACGAAACCGTCTCTAAAACCGAACCTGTTCATGGACGGAACAATCATAATCACACTAATGATATTGTATGTAAAGTTTGCCTATGATCAGTTGCCTGAGGAATTTTGAATACCGATTATCACGTAAAACGTTGGATATTATGTATAAGTCCTATATCTTGCCAATATTGGACATTTGTTCGCATATTTGGGATAACTGTACGTCTGAGCAATCACGTACATTAGAAAATTTACATCTTGATGCTCTGAGAATTATATTTGATGCCGTTCGTGGCACAAGTCATAACAAACTTTATAATGAAACCAAATCTCAGTCCTTGCAATATAGAAGGTATTGTCAGAAGTTAACTTTTTTCTATAAGATGTACAACAACCAATTGCCAAAATATCTTTGTGACCTGATCCCAAACTCCCGGAACTACAAACTACAGCTTGAGGAATAACTCTGAAATACAAGGAATTTACAGTCACACTGCCTCTTATGCTAAATCCTTTTTACCTGTCACAATAAATTTATGGAATGCCCTACCAAATTCCAAAGCATCATGTAATCTCACAGAATTTAAAAACCTAATTACAAAAACTGAAAATAAGATTACTTTGACCTTAATTATGGCACTCGTTTTTGCCAAATCGTTCACTGCCGCCTCAGGCTCGGATGTAGCGACCTAAACGCCGATAAGTATAACAGACATTTAATAGACAGCCCATGTTGTTCTTGTGGACATCAGAGTGAAAACGCCCTACACTATTTCCTCACTTGCCGTAACTATACTATGATAAGACTTAATATGTATTTTTACACTACCGGTTATAACCTGGATACTGTTCTTAAGGGAAACAAAGAACTTACTTCCTGTGTAAACCAGAAAATAGTTGAATCCGTCCACGATTATATAACCAAGACACAACGCTTCAAATTTTGTCAGGAAAATAATTAAATTTACTCAACAACCTTCTCATGATTGATTTATATTTCTACAATGGCTTGTTAGACACACACAACTGTAACTCTCTAACTTATGACTACTTAGAGAATAGTTGTATTTCATGTTATCTGTATATATTTATATATATATTTATAAATGTTATATTTATGCAATGGTCAGTATCAATGACATCAAATCCTCCATTTCATGTTGTATTTTATGTTGCATGGGAGCGGTGTTAACATAAGCAGTAATGCTTGTTCACCAATCCCAATTCATCTTCATGAATAAAAATATGTTTAAATCAATTTTTCACATGTGAAGCATGTTTAGTTTTGGGGCAAAAGCAGAATTAGGCGATTGTCCAGACAAATTTACTGATCGAATCATGTCTTCCAACAGTGGTATACCTTTTCCGGGTGGGATCAGTTACGATTGCTTAGATTTAAAAATCTAACGTATATCCTAGGTTATGGGTTTTTTAGCGCTTAAAGGAAGCATTGTTTTCTCGCAAATCACATAACAGCTGTAAACATGGTAAAACATCATATTTAGACTACCTTATTCAAGAAAACAGCAAAAATAAAATAACTGGAAGTTTATTTAAAAAACTTGGGCTGAAGGCAAATTGCATTTTGCATAACACAATTATGATAATGCCATCATGCATTGGCTTACATCAGAAATATATTAGTTCCCCCAGCCCAAGAGGTTTAGAGGTAACGACTGTAAATTGTTTGAACATTAACTAAAAGTAAAAACTGGGTCAAAGGTTTACCTGAACAATATCATACAAAAAATATGGGAGCATGATAATTCCTAGACAGTAGACATGTAATTGATATCATAATCATTATGATGCATTTTGCACAGTCCGAACTGGCTTGCTGTCCAAAAATTTCTTTGATCCGTTAAAGGTTTTCAAACAGGAATTCCACCATTCTAAATCCAATCTGAAGGAGTCACTAATTAACACCTTTTCACTTCCTGATTTTAAAGTGTTCTTAAGGTTTTCTCCTAAGAAAAGTTCTACCTCCCTGTATCACAGAGGATGACCAGTTCAATTTTCCTATCAGACTCTCTATCTGCCTTTTACTTGCTGTCTTCTTTGCCGCAAAGGCAGCTGTTTCCTGTTCAAGGGTGTGAACTTTGTCCATTGGCAACTCTAAAGTACATTCAGTGGTATTTATCAAAACACCAAGAAAAACAAGCTTCTGTTTTGGCCCTTCAACCTTGTTCCAGTTTATGCGAAAACCTAACCATCTCAATACTTCAATAAGTTTTGCCAAGGCTTGGCCACATTCACTAGCAGTATCTGAAATAATCAGAAAATCATCCAAATATGCTATAACTCTGTACCCATATCTCACTTTCATTATTCTGCATATTGCAGCACTTAAACACTGGAAAAAAATTTGGGACTTAGAAGCACCAAATGGAAGTTTTGAATCAAACATGTACGTAGGGTTGCTTTCCCCTTTAAAGCGCCAACACAACCCTGTTAGTGGGTAATTACTAGCGTGAATAGGTACAGATCTATATGCATAAAATAACTGGAAGTTTATTTAAAAACCTTGGGCTGAAGGCAAATTGCATTTTGCATAATACAATTATGATAGCGCCATCATGCATTGGCTTACATCAAGAAATATATTATTTCCCTCAGCCCAGGAGGTTTAGAGGTAACGACTGTAAATTGTTTGAACATTAACTAAAAGTATAAACTGGGTCAAGGGTTTACCTGAACAATAACGTACAAAAATAGTGGAGCATGATAATTCCTAGACAGTAGACATGTAATTGATATCATATTATTTTCCGGTCATAGTTCACCAAATATATTGAAATCTATTCATATGGTTTAAACATATTTATTCGTAAAACAAATGGATTAGCATACAAGCTTATATTAATGCTGCTCAAATACAATTTACAAAGTTAAGTAAACCAAAATTATCATTCAACGATAACGATTACATGACAAACCACAAGGTTAATGTACAGTCAGATGATAATTAATATTTCAATAGCAATTTCATTATAACAACCGATATATTTCTTAAAGCTAATAATTCTTCAACCATATTTGCTCCCAAATCTACAAGAAGCAGTGATGAAGTGGTAAACAGATTTTAAGATAGCTAGGTTATCAAGATCAGATATTTCACTATTTCCATATAGAATTGTCTTTAAGCTGTACCCATTATTGTAATATACCCATCAGTTCTTAACACAGCGTAGGTTGGACAGGCAAGTAGTGTTGTGTATCTTCACGATAAGCGAATCTATTCATATTTACATTAAAATTAATAAAAATAAGGGCAAATTAAAATATTACATTATAACTACAAGAAGGACTGCCTAACAATATGTAAGCATTATCCAAGCTAAACATGTTGATAAAGATTAGTGATAAGAAACATTAAATATTCACTTATTTTTCATGTGTATAGTTTTACATTTTTGTTTTTCTTCAGGAATAAAATAGAATTTGAGAGGAGGTTTGTTCACATCGTAAATATGTTTAAACCCTGTTTCACAGTGTCGTGAATATATTTTTGTGAATGTGAGTACTGGTTTGCAGTGTGTGTATAAAGTGCCGTTGTGGATGTGCTCAATATGCACTCACAACAACTCTCATTAATCAATTCAGATATGATATATTGAAGACAGTGTGTACCCTGTGTAGCCATGTGCAGCAAGAACACAAATCACTAGATGAGTACTTGTCAGTAATGATTGTATTGTTATCATGCAGCTAAACTAACCAAGCTTTCATCACAAGGTATTGCTTGAATGTTTTAATGAACAAAGTAAAGAAGATTCTATCAGTTGTCATTGCTTGCTTTTGTACAGTGACTTTAACTCAATATCATCATGGAATTGGATTGTTTTCCTGGTTTCATTTCCACAGAAATTAGGATTGGTAAAAAAGCAAAGCTTATGTAAATACCTATCCAGGTAATGAGTTGACACTGCTGGTTAGTATACGTTGTACCAGACAGTGCTGAACATAATGTATAGTTGCACGAATAGAATATATTAAGTCAGTATTTTGAAGTCAGTGGTGTCTGTGGAAAAATATAATTATGCAGTTATCGTTTCTACATGAATTTAAAATTGTTCATATCTTTTTGCTTTTGACGATAAAGTTGTGAACAGATTGAAGGATATCCATAGCAAAAAGTATTGCAACACCCATGATTTTTAATCCCCATATAGCCATTTATATTCCTGTCATAATTATATTTCTTTCTATGATTATTTTCATATCTCGGGGCGTACCATATTGATATTAGACATGAACATGCTACAATCAAAGCCAAGCACCACAATGTGACTATATGCAATATGTGTAACTGTCATTAAGCAAATATTGAGTGTCAATAAACTACTCTTACAGCTTATTATTTATAACTTTGAAAATCAATTGATTTTGTTGTTGATTGGCAAATGTGGGGCTTCCTTAACTCACTGTGTATAATTCATGATAAAGTCAATGAAGAGGAGGTTAGGGATGTTACTGCAGTTGGTGG